TTTTGGATTAATTTTTTATGTTAAATTTTATAGTACTTAGTTCAAAATTTTATATTCTTATTGTTCAATTATTAAATAGTATATAATTTTGCGACATAGAATACGAATGAGAAAAAATTGACAATTAGGTTTATTGAGTATTATAAGTAAATATTTAAAATTAATGATGGGTGCAAAGGGTGGTATAAATTGATAATTTAGTTTGCAAAAATGCATTTAAATAAGATTACAAAAAGTTAAAATAAATGGATTATAAATGGGTAATTAGATTACCTAATTTATTTTTTGATTTTTTGATTTATACCTATCTAATTAAATGGATATAAATAGATTAACGTACTTGTACCTATTATTCATTTTAACTAATCCATACATGTCTAACTCACCCATTTTGACACTTCTAGCTATGGCACGTGGAAAATTAATCGTTGTCTATCCTTACCAAGGATCCATCTGAAATCTAGTATTGAGAGATATACTAGACGTGTTGTATTAATCATTGTCCAATGTGGAAGTGACACCTCAACAACTGATACTTGTGATGATTGATGAAAATAAGTGTTCTGCCAATGAAATTGTATCAAACAAAATTCAATTTTTTTTTGACAAAATTCAATTCTAGTTGTACCATAATTCGATTGTCCGAGGATTGGTTCCAAAGTTTTTTGTCCAAGTTGCATTCAATGCTTTCACCAGCAGCAACTGAAGCGTTTGGAAATAAGTTATAAAAAATTCAATGAATTGAAAAGGTTGTTGGAAATAATAAATGACATTACTTTAAACCTATAATACAAATTCTTCAAGAACACCAGGAAAGGATCCACCACAATGCGTATGGAAGAAAAGTAGAAAATCAACAAAGAAAACCTCTAATTGTAAACATCAAATAGCGCTAGGAAAGGATGCACCACAATGCATATGGAAGAAAAGTAGCAGAAAACCAACGAAGAAAACCTCCCAAAGTTGAAAAGAAGGTAAGTAATATTTATTAAATTTTGATAAAGACCATGTTTATGTCTTTTAAATAGTTAGATAAATCACTAATGTTAGAGGAAAATGTTGTCTCCAGGTCTTGCATTATATGGCGGGATATGCACCTTTTTGTTTGATTAATTTTTACGAACTACAAAAAAGTCACTTTTTATGCAACTAATTTTTTTGTTTAATTATTTTCACTAAGTTTTGGGTCATTATTTGACTATTTGTTCCATTAAGGACATGGATTTGACATCATAATAATAATTTAAAATATTAATATAAGAATGTGACAGACAATAAAAACTTTATAAGGACATAATTTTCATATATGTAAATTTGGAAGAAAGAATAGGAAGAAATTATAAGGGAGAAAGCATTGGAAGAAATTAACTAACCAAATTGCCAATGAGTTTGCGTCCAGATGAAATAGTAAACTGTTTTTGTCCACTTATGACTTTTATTGCAAGTACGGTAGTGGGAGAAAATTGTGGATAATTAACATAGAGGCCTTTTTTCAGACTTTTAAATCCTATTACTAATTCCGAAGCCGGGCTCAATTCAATGTTTTTTCCTGCTACTCCATTCTTTTTCTTTGGTAGGACTGAGTTTAAAGATTTAATTTAATTATATTATTTTTGAAAGGGAAAAAAAGGAATGACATGTATTATATTTTTGTATAATTAATTTAATTATGAATTTTGTGGAAGAAGCGAAGTTTAAAAGTGGCGTGTTTATATTATTGAATTCGTTTATCAAGTGAAGTTGAAGTACTAAGTCTTACTACACGGAAATGAAATCTAATAAAAGGGATGTGAATATTGAATACAAATTCTGGCAGGACATGAATGGTATATAATAATGTGAATCTTTTGTTCTGTAGAATAAAAATGGAAGATAGTTCTATGGTTTTGCAACTGGCAACATAAATAACTCAAGTCAAAAGTTCTGTGGTTTCCATTTTGACCCTCAAGATCAGCAAGCGAAGGTAGGCAGGGGAACGAATGATGGCAACAGTCTAATGCATGGACTTTGACTATAGGAATGGCGGCCCTAGCATTGGAAAGGAATAAACACCAAGCACAAAGCCTATAGGAGATTAATTGATGTTTCAAAATTTGGGATCCCACCGCACATTGGCATCTGGTGGGAAGTGAAAGTGTGGCAATTGTGAAATTTATTCCTAGTTTGAACTTAGAAGTAGAAAACAAGCCCATACATTTGCAAAAAATATTTCCCCTAGTCAATTGTACACGTTTCGATTCCGTCCATTTCATCAATTTGTGTCCCTTATATTACTTTTATTACAATCTACAAACATTAATACAATATCTTCTATATAATAATTTATTCAAATAACTATACAAACTATGTTAACTACATATTAATAAAATAATAGAATTTTGGCTTTATTTGCTATAACTAAAAAAAATTAAGTTTTGGACTAATCTAAGTTAATCATATACCATGATTTTGGACTGATATCGTGATACAATTAACATTTTACCAATGACTATAAATGACTTGTTTACCAATGACTATTCATTTATATTGTAAATGATTATTTTATTCTTATTTTAACAAATAAAATAATGACCACTTGTTATTATTTTTTTCGAGTTTAACTAGGCTCGAACTCGAGATAACTCGAGTTTTAAAATGAAAGCTTGTGGAGTTCGGGATCATGCTGAAAGTTAAGAAAATCGAGTCGATTCAACTCGTTTTGCAATCCTATAAATGATAACATTTTCATTAAATCTATATGTTTTTTGTAAATTTAATATTAATATATGTAATCAAAAAGTGATTGGAAAAAAAATTAAGTTTGGACTAATCTAAGTTAATCAGATACCATGATTTTGGATCAATATGGTCATACAATTAGCAAAACTAAATTTTTTTTATCTATTTACCCATGTTAAAGAAATAAATAATGTTTTCTCTAAAACCCACTCCTGCGAATACAAAATTTATGTGTTGGAATACTTTGGCCATGACAATTAAAATTTATTTTTTGGACTAATTTACCCCTATTATTGATAGAATTAAAAGTAGATCTGTCAAAAAGAAATTTTGGTCTATAAGTAAGTAATTTCATCTCATCCTATTCGTGACGAAACGCAAGGAACCTAGTTTTTTTGTTAAACTAAACATCTAACATAAAATCAACGAAACATTTGACAACAAGATTACTCATCCGAAGATAAGAAACCGCCTCTCATTTCATGAAGAGTTCGTTTGGTCCATTGGATCATATGATAATTTGGAGTTATTTACTTCTTTTACTATAATGACATTTTATCCTAACAAGTGCATCAAGTCTACTATTTCCCTATAACATAATCTAATTTGTGAACTAATTTTGCCATGACTATAAATGGCTATCAAGCCAAAGTTGATATTATTTTCTAAAACTTCCTAGATAACACAAAACATTCAAACTTGAACTTATAAATGAATATATTTTAACAAATTGATGTTATAAATGACTATTTTATTCTTCTTTTATAAATGACAATTCATTTATGTTGTAAATGACTATTTTATTCTCAGTTTAACAAATAAAATAATAACTATTTGTTATTATTTTTCTCGACTCAACTAGGCTCGAACTCTAGATCAATATTGAACTTGAGTTTTATAATGAAAACTCGTGGAGCTCGGGATCGTGTTGGAAGTCGAGAAAATTGAGACGATTCAACTTGTTTTGCAATCCTATAAATGATAACCTTTTCATTAAATCTATATGTTTTTTGTAAATTTAATATTAATATATGTAATAAAAAATGAATGAAAAAAATTAAGTTTTGGACTAATCTATGTTAATCATATACCATGGTTTTGGACCGATGTGGTCATACAACTAACAAAACTAAACTTTTTATGCATTTACCCATGTTAAAGAAATAAATAATATTATGTTTTCTCTGAAACCCGCTCGTTGGAATACTTTGGCCATGACAATTAAACTTTACTTTTTTGGACTAATTTACCCCTATTATTGATAGAATTAATAGTAGATCTGCCAAAAAGCAACTTTGGTCTATAAGTAAGTAAATACATCTCATCCTATTCCTGACAAAACACAAGGAATTTGGGTTTTTTGTTGTTAAACTAAGCATCTAATGTAAAACTAACCAAACGTTTGACAACAAGATTACTCATCCGAAGATAAGTAACCACCTCTCATTTCATAAATAGTTCGTTTGGTCCATTAGATCATATGATAATTTAGGGTTATTTACTTCTATTACTATAATGACATTTTATTCTAACAACTACATTGACTCTACTATTTCCCTATAATATAATCTAATTTGTAAACTAATTTGACCATGACTATAAATGACTATCAAGTTAAAGTTGATGTTATTTTCTAAAACTTCCTAGGTAACATAAAACATGGAAACTCGAAGTTATTAATGAATATATTTTAACAAATTGATGTTATAAATGACTATTTTATTCTTATTTTATAAATGCCTATTAATTTACCAATGACTTGTTATAAATGACTATTTTATTATTATTTTAATAAATAAAATAATAATCACTTATTATTATTTTTTCTCGAACTCAATTAAGCTCGAACTTGAAATTGATATTAAATTAGAGTTTTACAATGAAAGCTCGCGGAGAACTCAGGATCGTGTTGGAAGTTAGAGAAAATTGAGTTAATTCATCTCGTTATTCATTCTTGATAATGCCCACACGGAGTAAAACTAATATTTTTCATCTGGTGAAGTCTCTCTAATAATGTGTCAAGAAGAATCCCTCAATTCCATCTTAGACGCTTTTGATGCCCCTACGGTGCATCATATTATATTGAACAACTAGTACTCTTCTTTACTTTTCACCCGGCGGCCTATTGTTGAGTTTTTTGCTGTATTAATTGACAAGGTTTAATCTGACTTCTTCTTCTATATTTTATTAATTTCCACACCACTTGTACAATTTTGATAATAGACTATAGAGGTGTCCACCATACCAAAGACCTAGAATTTACCTTATTACTTTTTTTTTTCCACAAACGTTAACCGTTATATATATATGATAAACCCTTGATAATACAAGAATTAATTACAAAAAGGGGCTACTACCCTCATTTGCTTCCTCACTAAATCCATCAGCCAAACTGGGAAGTCTTGTTCCCATTGAATATCATCCACTAGCTGTACAGCAAACTTAGCTAGAGCATGGCTGATTTCATTCTCTGTTCTAGGTATAAACACAAAACTACACCTTTCAAAATGTGTTGTCAAATCCTTCACATCTTCCAGAATAGTTGCAATGTTAACATCATACTCATTGCCTCTATGTATCTGGTCTAAAACTGATTTGCTATCGGAATGGATTTTAATTTTAGTCCATCCTACCTGCTTAGCCATCAGCATTGCATTTCTAATTGCCAAAGCTTCTTCTTTCATTGGTTCCCCCTTATATTGATTGACTATTGCCTTTGCTTTCATAATCATTCCGTTCCACTTTCTTGCAACAATTCCTTGTCCCGTCCTTATCATCCTTGCTGATATCGCAGCATCCGTGAACAGGCAAACGTCATCGTCCCTTGCTGTTTGTCTTCGTGGATCCAAAACCGTGGATCCATAAAGGTGTCTTGGTTGTGGAAAATTGATTGATTGTTGCCTGTTCATACCAAGGACCAAGACTTTACTGTAGCATCCAAAACCATGGGCACTTACTACCAGCCAATAAATTTCTGCCGACACACAAACACAGCAATCAAGGCCGTGATTTTGAGAAGAATGCAACCCAAAACCCGAAGCATGCCAAAACGGAAAATCGGTATCAATTCCGTCCAATTTGGACGTAATGGATCACAGCCAATAATTTCGTGGACCACACAAGTTGAAGGAGGGCGGTTTTGTTTTTCTTTTCTGCTTTTGGGAGTCTTCTTCCGGTCCAATTTTGCAATTGTTCTCTTTGGAAGCTTTTTTTGCACTTAAAAATTCAGGTAGTAAGGTGTTATTGAATTAAAAATTTAGACAACTTTAAATTTTAAAAACTAATTATACACACAAAAACAGCAAAATATCCACCGTTTGATGTTCACTTAGGCCGTCCGCTTTCTGTGCATCTAAAACGTTCAAATATCCACCTCAACCGCACCTTGAATCCATCACGAATTTACGATTCCACTTAAATGTTTCTTCAAACAAACAAAAAAAAACTCTTCTTTTCAAATCATTTGTAACTTTAGTTTTGAAAAAAAAAAAGGAAAATACTTGTAACTGTGAATTAGTACATGAGAAATTTAACTATTAAACACTAGTTAGTTCATTCTTCATCCTTCGTATGCTTTATTTGATTTCCTTTATTTAATTCTTCTTCGTATTTAATTATTCTTCATCCATTCCACCATCCCAAAACATCCCACCAGCAGCACCTTTTTTTTTTTTTTTTATTAATATAATTAACTTTTTGGAGGGATCCCAGACGTCCTCCCTACTATGTGAATCGAACTACTATGTGAAACGAGCCTCTCTTCTGAGATCAGTTTAAAACAACAGAGATTAGAAGTTTTGCAGCTGCACATATGACATAACAGGCAATATCTTCTCCTCCTTTACTAGTTGTTGAAAGCAAAGCTCACTTTACCAGGATGGCTGACCCTGTTATCTCTCTTGTTATTGAGAGAACTAGCGATCTGCTGATTCAAAAAATTATTTTCCTGAAAGGCGTTCGACCACAAGTTGAGAGGCTGCAAAATGATCTGGTCCGGATGCGGTGTTTCCTGAAAGATGCTGATCAGAGGCAAGTTGAAGATGCGAGGATCCGCAACTGGGTTTCTGAAATCAGAGCTGCTGCCTACGATGCGGAGGATATCATTGAGATCTTTGCCAGCAAAGTTGAGTTCTTCACAAAGGACAAGGGACTCGTCACCAAATTGACGTATTATCCCTTGAAAATTGTGAACCTCTACAAGATAGGTAAAGAGATTGAGTCCTTACAGATGAGGGTCAATGACATAGATGATAGCCGTGAAAAATACGGTATAAAAAATCTTGGAGTGGGAACGAGTACACATGGAGAAGAGCTTCAACGGCTCCGACGGTCCTCTCCAATTAGTGAGGACAAGGATATTGTGGGCTTCGAGAAGATAACAAAATCCCTGGTGGCAGAACTTTTGAAAGAGGACAGAAACCGCCGTGTGGTTTCAATCATTGGCATGGGAGGTGCTGGTAAGACAACTCTAGCCAAAAAAGTTTATAACCATGCTGTCGTCAGGGAGAGATTCAACTGCCGTGCTTGGGTATGTGTCTCTTCAAGCTACGATCACAAAAAGATACTGAGATCAATCATAAAGCAATTAAATCCAAAGGATACAAAGGATGACAAGCTATCTGAAATGTTGGAAAAGATGGAAGAGGAAGAGTTGGAAGAAAGGCTCTATCAAGATCTACAAGACAAATGTTATCTTGTGGTACTTGATGATGTGTGGAAGGAAGAAGCGTGGGATTGTCTATCCAGGAGGGCCTTTCCTGATGTTGGCACATCAAGTAGATTGCTGCTTACAAGTCGCGATCGGGATGTTGCCCAACACGCAGATGCTTATAGACACCCGTATGAGTTGAAAACTTTGGGGCTGGAAGACAGTTGGCAGTTGTTCCTCAGAAAGGCCTTAGGCCATGGGGATAATGCTGGGTGTCCTCCCGATTTGGAAGAAGTGGGCAGAGAGATTACCAGAAGATGTGGTGGTCTGCCGCTGGCCATCACGGTTGTAGGTGGCCTGCTGCTGGCAAAGAAAAAGTTGAAGAGTGAATGGGAGAAAATTCTCAACAATTTCAGCACATACCTATCAAGAAGCCAGAGTGGGGTATCAGCAATTCTGGAATTAAGTTATGCAGACCTTCCTCCCAATCTGAAATATTGCTTTTTGTATTTGGGTTTGTTCCCCGAAGACTCCGTGATTTCTGTGCGCAAGTTGATCCATATGTGGGTTGCAGAGGGAATAATGCAGAAAAGAGATGCAAAAAATTTGGAGGAAACTGCAGCATATGATGATGTGGAACAACTTTGTAGCAAAAATATGGTCCAGGTGGCGAAAATGACTGTTGATGAGAGGATTAAAAGCTGTAGAGTCCATGATTTATTGCGAGAGCTTGCAATCAGAAAGGCAGAGGATGAAAATTTTTTTCAGATCCATGACACCAGAGATGATAAAATATCAGCCAAATCCAGGTACCTTGCTATTCATATTCTCCCTGGAGATAAAAATTATTTTGGGTCTTCAACCCCTCCTCTCCGGTCTCTACTTTTTTTCAATGTCCACGATTACGGGAAAAACATTAGTCTTATCTTCAAAAGTTTCAGAAAGCTCAGGATACTAGACCTCGAGGATCTTAGGATGTACTCTAATTTGCCAAAAGAAATTGGTAAAGTTAGGCTTCTAAGGTACCTCAATTTAAGAGGCACACACATTAGAAGGCTCCCTCATTCCGTCGGTTGCTTGCGATACCTACAAACTCTTGACATACGGAACTTAGAGCAAGTGATAGTTTCTGATTTCATTTGGAAGCTTGAAAGTTTACGGCATCTATATGCGTCTCGTATGGAATGTGATGAGCCTCTTAAGATTGAAGGATTGAGAAATCTCCAGACTCTGTCAGGCATATGGTTTGATGACATTATGCACAATAACATGATAACTTTGACAAGTCTTCAGAAACTGGAGATTATAGTGGATGATAGGTCAGAGATAGACAAACTGTGCGTGCATTTATCTGAGGTTGGAAGCCTAAAGACGTTACATCTTTATTGTTATTTAAGAGACGAGTCACTCGCGCGGCCACAATCTCTAGCTGGATTTTCTAAGCTCCATCATGTAACACAGCTCAAGCTATCCGGGCTGCATTTGAGAATGCTGCCTCCTGATTTCCCTCCAAATCTCTCTCGCTTGTCTTTGAAATACACAGAACTCGAGGATGACCCAATGCCAGTACTGGAGAAGTTGGGACAACTGTCGTTCCTCAAACTGGAAGATGCATGGGGGGAACCACACCGTATGGTCATTTCTAGGCATGGGTTTCACCAATTGAAATTCCTTGTGCTCAATGACCTATATGCTTTGTATGAAATGAAGGTGGACAAAGGTGCACTGCCACAGCTCCGCTGCCTGAGAATCAAGGACTGCCGCAGATTAAACAAGTTGCCGGAAGAGCTGAAGCACATATCTACTCTCGATAGGCTTGAGCTTGTGGACATGCCAGAATATTTCATCAGCAGGCTTGATGCGGACATGGTATCCAGTGTCCCTAACCTCAGAATATTTGACTTGCCGAAGGAAGGAAGGCGGTATTTGTAATTCATGCGTAAAAAGCAAGCTATGTCGTGTAGTGATTAATAAAATTATTTCAAGTTTTTATCAAAATATATAAATAAAATGAACGTTTCCGATTCAACATAACTTTTGTTTCCCCCAATTCAACATACTTTGCTTTGCCGCTATTTCACTCTTTATTTTCGTCATATAATTCAGACAAGCTTTTTAAGTCCATTTTTTTTTAAATTTGAAATCTCACTTCAATGCTTGCTATTTTTAATTATCCCACTATTAAATAAAGAATGACTCTTTCGTTATTAATGATATTTTGGATAACTAACAGTGCCTACACCTACACCTCATAGGATTTGTCTCTCTATCAATTTACATCGCATATATCATATTCATACAAGTAGTATTTTAAAAAAAAAGGTTCATGTCTTGAATAGGCCTCAAATATCCTGATAGTTTGGTATTTGGCAATGAAATCGACCATATAACCAAAGGCCGATATGAAGGTACTCAAACACAATTAATCAAACACCTTAAAAACAAGGGATTTTTGTAATGGTATCCACTGAAAGTATCTATGTACACACATATACATATTTCATCCTTAAATTTAAATATCTTTTTCAAATTAATATTTCACTATTGCCAGAAAAGACTAACACGCGAGTAATTAGCCAAGCTCTAAAAACAATACAAAATACATTCATTTTAATATAGTCAAACTCCTAAAATAATAAATAAGGTTTATTTTTTGTAGACGAGCGAATGATAAATACAATAACAAAAAATCAGGCGCAAGACCGTGCATGCCTAGGTGGTCATTTATTGCAGCTGCATCTTGGTTAGAGCTGTTAAATTTCACGAGTAGCTCGAAAGCTCGTTAGAGCTCGGCTCGATAAGGCTCGAGCTTGACTCGTTAGTTGCGGTAAATGAGCCTAGCTCGAGCTAGAAATGTGCTCGTTTAGTTAACGGGCCGAGTAAGCTTGGCTCGTTTGATATTTGAGTAACTCGTTAGAACTCGTTAATAAAGGGCATATTTGTCATTTTAGAAGTCAAAAGTATAAAAATTGAAAATTATATATTTTTATTGAGATTAATTTGCACGAGCTCGAACTCGAGCTCGTACAACTTCAACTCGTTTGTGATAAACGCGTCAAGCTCGAGTCACATGTACATTTGACAAGTCGAGTTTGAACACATTTTAAAACTCATTTGCCTAACGAACTCGAGTCGAGCTCGGCTCGAATTAAGCTCGAGTCGAGCTCGACAGCCAAATACTCGACTCAACTCGACTCGATTAACAGTTCTAATCTTGGTGTAAACAAAACATGGCCAACAACCCTTACAAGCAAAAAAAGAATTATGAATTAATCATGAAGATACCATATAAACCACATTGTCTTTACAATTCCTATCTGACTTTGAAATTAAAACAGGTAACAACAACGTCCTTCTTTCTTGACGTAATGCACTCTATCTCTATGATCGCCCGAATAAAGTTTTAATACAATTCTTTTGCATTCTTTAGATCTTCTGCGCAGATAAGGATGTATCCAAGAAGGATTACCTTTGGCATGATGGCTGATAGAGGTCTTTCTGTGTCTGCAATTCTATATCGACACAAAAGAGTCAGTTATGTTATTCCAATGACTTTGATGAATTGTTTTCCTTTCAAACTCCATTTAATTGGTCGAATTTACAGGTATGATCCATTACATATGTTATTTTTTTGAATGCGTCTAAAACCAATTTGGTTCCTGATATTGTAGGAAAGATGTATCCAAGAATTTATTGTTGGACGTATTTGCGGGACCAAATTTAGCTTCTTTAGGTGCATTCAAGAATACATTACCGGATAAAAAATATATATTTTTTGTCTATTAGTGATCTAGGGTGAGGTATCGGTTGGTTGAGATTTCATGCACTTGTATACGTTACATAATTTGATGTACCTTTGTTGTGCATTTAAATTTTATTCAAGTACATCATTGTATTATACAAATAAACTTGGTTTCTACACGTACACCAAATTCTGAAAAAAATTACAATAACAATACATAACCACATTAAACCCATCCCAATTCCAAATTATACCCCGCCCTTATGCAACAATTAATACATATAGTTTTTCCTGTTCTTTAAGTTTTAATAACATAAAAAAAAATTTACAACTCATGCACCATATATACCATAGGAAAAAATATTCAAGCTATATAAGCATACAACAGAAGTACAATTTAACAGTAGAAATATCAATATATCATAATTGTGAGAGAGAATTAAGTCGCCAAGAAAAGGAAATAGAAACTTTTGGAAATTGAGATGAAAATGGAGAGTCGGTGAGAGAAAAAGCAAAAAGGAAAGGTATGCATAAAAAGAAAATTTAAAAAAAAGTTGTTTATAAAAAGGGAAAACAGAAAATGAAGGAAAATGAACTTATGTCCCTTCAAAAGTTAAAATTCTACATCTTTCTTCTTTTTGGGTAAAACCCAAACTAAAAAAAAAAAAACAAAAAGAAGCATTTTTCACCTTATGCTAATTCCAGTAAAGTAAGGAATGTTTGCCCATTTTTTTGTTTTGATCGACACAATAATATCTATTCTATATCTACTTCTATTCTATACTAAGGGAAAAGCCTTTACACTTGCTAGTGAATGGTTACAAGGAAAGTCTTGCTTGAAAGAATGATAATTTGTAAACTTTAAATCAAACAAACATGTGAATTTAACTTTTGGAATAATAGGACCCAAGTATATTTAATTAAAATAGAAAAATTATACTAAAAAAATCTTAGACTATACAATAGAAACATGTAAAAGGATTTTTCTATTCTTAATAAAAGTAACCTCTTAATGTTTTAAGGATACAATAGACACGTAGAGATAGGATTCGAATTTCTATTTCGAATTCCTCTCTACAATTATATGAACTTCTACCTTGTTTCGACAACAATAAGGGATGAATAAAAAACCGTTTAACTAGTTCTGTTTTTCATGATTAGGGCATCCTTAGTAGTAAGTCTTGGTGGAAATAAATAGCAGTTAGTCTCGAGAAACTAACTTAAATTGACTTATTGGGTGAATACAATACATCAAAAATCATGAATCATGATCCTTATGGTAATCATGGTTGATTTGTTCTTAATTTTTTTTTTTTGAGAAAATTCACAATTTCATTCATAAGATCTGCACAGTTGAACGATACACCAAATATATCATAGAGATAACAAATTTGAAGAATTTACATATATACAAGATCTGAGAATTCAAATAACAATATCATATTATGAATCTCCAACCTATTCAAATGATATCAATTCCTTTAAGCCCAAAGAATATATGTGCATGTATCATATTATAAATCTCCAATCTATTCATATGATATCAATTCCTTTAAGCCAAAGAATATATGTGCATGTCCTCGCCTGTTAGATTTGCTATTTAACTGCTTCAAACTCATTTGTTAAGATAGATCTTAAAAATTTCAAATTTGACAAACAGATTTAAAAAAGCTAAGATTTGACAAAAAAAATAAACTAAAAGAAAATTCTCACTAGAAACTCTAGGAGAAAAAAAAAACTCTCAATAAAAAAAGTCTAGGGGAGAAAAAATGTCTCACTAGGAAATCCTAAAAGAAAATGCTTAAAATTTTTATTTAGTTCTTACCTTATTTATCAACTTCATTAATTTATACCGTTCCAAATTCACCTCTTTAAGTTTATGAACTCCTACCTTATTTTCAAAAACAATAATGAATTTTAGAAAAGGCAAAAAGTGTGGCTTGTCTTAGTTTTTGTGATTAGGGAATCTTTTAGTACTTTATAAGTTAAGACATGACTTGGAACTGGCAGTCATTATTGTATTCGCTTGCCAATGTTTCACTCTTTATTTTCGTCACATAATTCAGACCAAATGACAACCTTTATAAGTCCTTTTTTTTAATTATTTGAAAATCTCACACTTCAATGCTTGCTTTTTTAATTTCCCACTATTAAACATGGAATGACTTTTTTGTCATTAATGATTTTTTGGGTAACTAACAGTGTCTACACCTGTAACTTATAGGATTGTCTCTCTATCAATTTACATTGCATATATCATATTAATACAAGTAGAAATAAATAAAAAAAAGTTCATGTCTTAGGTAGGCCTCAAAAATCCTGATAGTAAACTCTTGGCACTTGGAACTGTCTAACTCATTTAAAATATCTAGAGGTATTTGGTTGATTCTAACTTTTCCCATGCTGCCCAAACTGAAAAAGAGAACAAGGAAATAAAAGCCCCTATTCATGTACTGGGAGAGAAGAAAAGAATGAAGCTGGCAAACAAATCAAGGAATTCATCCCATACAAAAGTGTTGGTCCGTCTGAAATTGAGAGTTGATTGCTTCCTAAATACTACTTATTATACACATAAGATGTTAAAAAATTAAGCGTGCGAAAATCAAATAACAAGCTGTTCATTTAAGTTGTTTGGGATAAACATTGAAGGGGAAAAAATTACTGAGGGGAAAGTTTTTGAATATGGGCACAACTGTAGGCTATTTATTATGAAAGGCATTTATAATAATTCTTACATGTAATGTTTTTTTTATGTGTTTGTAGTAATTTCATTTTTTACAAAAATTAGTACAAATATCGTGTGTAATGGATAGTCCAAAGATTGTCTGCTATTTATAAGTTTGACACTCCCTTTTAATTCTTTCATGATTACTAGTTATTCGATTCTGTAACATGCATTGCCTTGAACGAAATGTATATACTTCTTGAGAAAAAAAAAAGGCACAATTTTGCATATAAAGAAAAAATTAATTAGTTTTTGTGAACTATTGGAGACTTGGAGTGAAAAGAACAGTTTTAAAAGAAGGGTTAATTATAGAAACTCATTTTGGAGTTTGGCTAAAGTTGCAGTTTACCGTCTCATGTTTATTTCTTCTAACTTTGCCTCCTATTTCAGTCCAACTAATCAAATTAACCATTAAAGTAGTCGAGTTAACGAAACCACCTTCTACATAGTTTACAAGGAAAGACC